CGCATCATTGTCATCATCATCGGCATCATTATTATTATTGTGGTCGCCATCATCATCACCGTCGCCAGAGAGATTATTTTGTTGTTATTTTGCTTTTTTTACTGGTTTTCTGAAATTGCAATACTTTTATTATCGCTTTTTATTGTTTATTTGTGACAATTTTAGTCAAAATCCATTTTCGTAATGGCTTTCATTTGCATTAATTTTAATGGCGGGGCTTTCAATCAATTTAATGTTCTACGGCGTTTGATAATGAAATCGAGTTTTTTTAATTATTTTCTGTGGCGATTTGATGACAGCTATTCAAGTGAGTTTTATGAAAACTTTATTTGAAAACAAGTAAAAAGGCAGTAAGTTCGGCCGGGCCGAGATTTGAATAACCTTCTCCATTTGAAACGAATTTGGAAATTTAAAAAAAAAAAAAAAATAAATAAATGAATAAATAAAAAATAAATAAAAATAATAAAATCCGTTAAAAATTCTGTTAAAATTTTAAAATAGCGAATATAGCCATTATATTGGGGTCCATACCAAGACGTGGGCCTGAAGAGATAACTTTTGTCATAACCCATTATAATATTCAAATACGAAACCTGAAAATAAAAAAACCGGCGGTAGCAAAAGTCATCAAACTACCGAATGTAAGGAGGTGCGTCATATCGGAGCTATACAAAGACCTAGAACTGCATAGAAAAAATTTTGTCACGGGCTGTAGTACCTATTCATATACGAATTTTCAAAAATCGTCAAAATACCGAATATAGGGAGGTTCCAATATATGGGCTGTAGTTCCTATCATAGGCTGTAGTTCCTATCACGAACCCTGAACAACTCCGGTGAATAATGTCCCTTAAATCGTCAAAATATCGAGGGGTACCGTTGTATCTGGACCTATATCGACATTTCTCTTTCAGGGGGTAAAGTACTTCGAAAGAGCTTCTAGTATAGATTTTTAGATAAATTCATTGGAAAATGTAGTTAAAATCATCAAAATACCGAATGTAGGTGGTAGGTGTACGATATTGTGGACCCATATAGACAATACTCTTCCAGGGGGTAAAGTACTCAGAAGAAACTCCTTCTGAGGATTTTCAGATAATTTTATTGAAAATTTAGGCTACAATCATCAAAACACAGAAAATCGGGGGGTACCGTTATATTGGGGCTATACGATATCGAGGCGACTATATGATACTCGAAACCACTATGCATATTTGCTAGATCTCCCGTAACAAAAGAATTTATTTGAAGTAGATCATTCCACCTATCAATATTTGGCTTTAGAGCAGTTATAGTATGCTATAGAGTGCATGATATCACTTGGAGAAGGATTATATTAAAAGAAATATACGTCGGAGCCTAGTTTCACAAAATGGGAACGTACGACAAGAAATAAACTCTATTTGGGCTGATATTAGTCATTATTTGCACAATAACCCTGAAATCGGATTAACTGTTCTCGATAAAATTTGACAAAGGTATTTCCGAGCTCTATAAGATATCTGGTACCAAATATCATTGTTGCGGAATGCATATTACGCATGTGGGGGACTTTAAGGTTCATCCTTGGACCAAACAAATATTGTTTGGAAAATTTCATTTCAATCGGATTATAAATGCGACCTGCATAAATGTGACCTGCATAAATGCGACACGCATAAATCCACTCAGAAAGTCACTCTATGAAGATCCTCAAAAGTAACTATGGGTCTATCGGACTTCCTTCTGCATGTTACAAATAAATGCACAAAGACCTTACCACTATGTGGTGTAAGGTATAAAAAGAATCAGTCGGTTTTGGGTCAAAATCTTGAACCCTATGTTGTGGAGGTACCAAATAGATGGTGCGATATCTACCATCATTATAACAGATCTTGTGTTGATATAAATATTAAGATGTGCCAAGTCTGAACGGAATTGGATATTAATTTGGTGTTTTAGGAGCTTCATGAATATTTAAAATGTTAACCCTTTGAGGTGGAGGTACCAGAAGGAGTGGACCGATATATTCCATCTTCACACCACACCTTGGGTTAGTAAAAATATTGAGATGTGTGAAATTTGAAGACAATCAGACTCTTACATCACATTTTATAAGTGTTACAATTATTCAAAATTGTGATCCTATTTGGAGGATGGACTTGATGAAGTGGACCGATATTGTCCACTTTCGCACCTAACCTAGCACTAATGCAAATATTAGGATTTTCAAAGTTGAAACAAATTTGTACTATCCTTTCTCTTTCTGTGCAGTAAAATATTTTTTTGAAATTTTTGGCCTTTCGTGGGAGAGGTACCAGAAGGAGTGGACCGATATTGCCCATCTCCGAACTCGATCTAAGTTCGATAATAATATTACCATGTACCAAGTTTGGACCATATCTGTCGCGCTCATTACGAACTTCAATTATGATATTTAAAATGTCGCTAAAATTATCAAAATACCATATAGACTCCATAGGTATGGACCTATATAGACCATTTTCAATACTAAAAATTCCACAGACCTAAAATACATTTGAGTTATATTATATCAATCTACTTCATTTCGTTCTGATGCTATAGTGATTTCTACAGACGGCTCCGTCTATGAGAAACTAAAGGGTTAGCAATAAAAGTTTTTAATTTTCGTAGGACAAAAATATTTAACTGTTATTAATTGGATACCGATACCCATTTTAGTCGAATTTTTAAAATTATGCCATACAGTCCTGCAAAAATGTTATCTTTGGTTTTTGACCGGTGACATTTTCCATATTTTTACAAAATCTGTGGTGCTCTTAGGTCTTAAAAAAATCACCCTGTCCTAAATTCTAACCACATGCGAGGTTCCGTGTCGATCTTTACTTGTGACCTGTAGGGCGACCACAAAATCAGAAAAAAAATCGTGAGGATTGGACCATAATTTCGATATGCAGCGTGATTACAAATTAAGATGAACAGACGGACGGACGAACACATGGAATATCCATGTATAACATCGTGGGTCTAGGACCAATATTTTTCGGTGTTGTTGCACGGTTATATTTTCAGAATTTAAAATTCGTAATAAATAAATAAAACAAGTAAAAAAGCAGTAAGTTCGGCCGGGCCGAACTTTGAATACCCTCCACCATTTGGAACGAATTAGAAAATTTTCAAAAAAAAAAAAATCCAATAAAAATTCTTTTAAAATCTTTAAAATATCTAATATAGGAAGGTGCCGATATATGGGGGGATATACGATATTGTGGACCTATAAAGACAAATCTATGTCTGCGTGTAAAGTAGTCACAAGGAACTCCTTGTGTGGATTTTCAGATAATTCCATTGGAAAAAGTGGCTAAAATCATCAAAATACCAAATATAGGGTAGTACCGTTATCTGGGGGATATACGATATTGTGGACCTATATAGACAATTCCGTTTCAGGGGTAAAATGCTCACAAGGAACTCCATGTGTGGATTTTCAGGCAATACGATTGGAAAATGTGGCTAAAATCATCAAAATACCGAATATCGCGGGGTACCGTTATATGGGAGCTATACGTTATCGCTAACCTATATAGAGAATTCTCTGTCGGTGGGTAAAGTGCTCACAAAGAACCCCTTGTGACCATTCCGTTGAAAAATATGGCTAAAAACATCAAAATACCGAATATCGGGGGTACCGTTATATGAGGGCTATACAATATCGTGGATCTATATAGATATTTCTCTGCCGAGGTATAAAGTACCCACAAGGAACTCCTTGTGTGGATTTTCAGACAATTCCGATGAAAGATGTGGGTCAAATCAGAAAATACCGAATATCGGGGGGGGTACCGTTATATGGGGGATATACGATATCGTGGACCTGTATAGACAATTCTCTCTCAGGGGGTGAAGTACTCACAAGGAACTACTTGTGTTGATTTTAAGACAATTCCATTGAAAAGCGTGGCTAACATCATCAATATACCGAATATCGGAGGTTACAGTTATATGGGGGATATACGATATCGTGGACCTATATAGACACTTCATTTTGAGGCGGTAAAATGCCCACAAGGGACTCCTTTTGTGGATTTTCAGACAATTCCGTTGACAAATGTGGGTAAAATCATAAAAATACCAAATATCGGGGGTACCGTTATATGGGGGCTATACGATATTGTCGACCTATATAGATAATTCTCTGCCGAGGTATAAAGTACCCACAAGGAACTCCTTGTGTGGATTTTCAGACAATTCCGTTGAAAAATGTGGGTAAAATCATCAAAATACCGAATATCGGGGGGTACCGTTATATGGGGGCTATACGATATCGTGGACCGATATAGCCCATCTTCGAACTTGACCTGCCTGCAGACAAAAGAGAGATCTGTTCAAAATTTTAGCTTCCTATCTTAATTCGTTTAGACTGTAGCGTGATTACAACAGACGGACAGACGGACGGACAGGGCTAAATCGTCTTAGAATTTTACGCTGATCAAGAATATATATACTTTGTTGGGTCTAAAATGATTATTTCGATGAGTTACAAACGGAATGACAAAGTTAATATACCCTCCATACCTTTTTTGGTGGAGGGTATAAAAATTCAGTAATTTTTGGTATTAGTATATGAAGACATCACACAAGTCCCTTGCTTGAGTATAACTGTTGTAAAGGGTGATTTTTTTAAAAAAGCCATAGAAAAGTTATTTAAAAAAACCGTATAGTACAATTTTCAAATACTCTTTCCAATATTTCGGCCGGTATCTCACGAATAAATCATTCAATGTTGTCTCCCAATGCGTCAAATGAAGCGGTCTCGACATGAGTTTTAATATAGCCCCCATGGTATAAAGGCGTAAATCACACGGTTAAGGCGCCCAATATTTTGTTCTGAACGTGAAATAAAATGAAACACCGTCAAAAAGATAATATATAAAATATCACCCTTTATTTGGGTCATTATGGCTACGCTCGGTAAATGAGTTTCGGAGCATTTGTACTTCTTCCCAAATTTAAAATTTCCTTCCTTAAATTGTACTTACCCAAATATTTCACGGCTATCCTCGTTGATTTTCAGTGAATGCAAACATCCCGTGAAGCCGGTGCCACTCTGAGATGGTGGCAGCTCGATAATCAAACCAATAGGAGCCTGGGGAGCACCACCCAAATGTAGCCATGTATTTAGAATAGTTTCGGGGGTGTGCATGCGGGGTGGTAACAATTTCAGCCATGTTGGTTGATCTCCCGACATGGCCAACGTATCGTTGACCAAAAGTGAGGCATTGCAGTGGGTATAGTTGCGGCTGAAATCCAATCTGAAAAAAAGAAGATAATATTGAATATTAATATGTTACAAGAAAAGGGGGGAAAAAGAAATTCGACATAATGATGGATGGTATCCCCAAGACATTTCATTTTCATGCCTCATCAGGAAGTGGAGGAGGGGGGGGGGGGAAGATTCTTTGGGTATTAGGAAAACCCTTTTAACATTGATGTTAATATGCTAAATAGTTGGCCATTGGTGGTTATGAGAAAACAACCAACTGGCCTTAAGGTCATATTAGCACATTTAAGCTGTTTACTTGTCAAAACATCAACACACACACACTCACACTTTAACACCACGCTCTGATACATTTCTATACTAATGTCGTTAATATAAACGACCGAGTAAAGGGTTACATATGACCCTTTTTTTCCTTTTCCTAGGAAATGCCTTAAAAACTAAGATCCCCAATAACCCCTAATAAATAACTAAAACACCCAAACACTTAAGACCCACACGCAGACACACATACAGCTGCACACTGTCAAAAAACAAAACACACACACCCAGATACCCCAAAAGTATATTTCAAAGTTTTTAAAAGTATACAAAATATTTCTCCTAGCTTATCTTAATTTCAACACACAACTACTATGTGACCACAACAGAGTCATATGTATGTGTATGTATGTGCATATGCCACTCACATTGTGACACCTGACACATATGTACATATATATATATGTATATCTTTATGATAGCATGTACTGACGTTGACACTTAAAAGTAAGGACTATCATCATCTGTAGCATTTGTATACCAGCTCTCATCTATCTCATTTGGCTTTTGTGTCCGAAACACATACACACATGCATATTTACCCTCACATATGTAAGTTTTATGGTTCACATGGACACATTTGTATTTAGACAAGTTTTTTGTTTGATTTCGTTATGAGTGTGTGTGTGTGTGTTTGTGTGTGAAAGGATGTCAGGATACATTAAGTGTCAAAATCCCAAACTAAAATACAAAACATTTTTTTGTTACTGCCCGTCACCGGCACCACTACTTCGACGACCACATTTGCAAAAGTTTTGTCAACAGAGGAAAAACTACAAAAAGTGACTAAAGTCTTTTTAGACAAAAAAAGTCGTAGTTATGACCAAAAATCCTTAAACATGTTGTCAGTTTAAGGACCACACAATATGAGATATAGTTTTGTGGTCGGGGTGGTGAGAAGCTCTTCTGTATACATAAACGTATGAGGTAATATCCATCCTGTTTAAGTTTTGTTAGCTTTATTGATTGCCTTTTGTTGGATTATGTTTATAAGCTTAAACTAACTGAGAAGTTGGGAAGGTATGGCGGATTTTGGTCCAAAAATTTAGGTGAGAATCAAAATTTTTAATGCGAGCTGTTTTTTATACCCTCAGTCATATGGCTACAGAGGGTGTATATTATTTGATACGGCCAAAACGAGCCTCATTGAAATAAGGGTTTTAGACCCTGGACCAAATCAGTTTCAGGACATTTGGAGTCTATCTACAAACACCCCGTCTGTCTGTTTGCCTTGCTGGATAACTGAAACATCGTAATATTACTACCAAACCTAGAGCGAGTTCGGAAATTGACAACTTTGACTGACTACTACTGGTACCTCCCCCACAACAGATTAAAATTTCCAAAACAAAAAAAATTATTAATAAATAAATAGAAAAATAAATATTTCAGGTCATAGGTAGTGAAAGGATCGTCCGATTTTGTTCATACTTCGCAAATCCAAAATTTTTATATCAGCCCTAGGTTAGAATATCGGCCCACTCCTTTCAGTAACTCCACCACAAGGTGTAAATTTTTTAATAAAACGAAGAAGTAAGAGTCGAATTGCCTTCAAATTTCCATCATCTCAACTTTTCTACCAACATAAGATCTGATGTGAATATACGATGTAGTGGGTCACTTCTGATACCTCACTCGCACAGGGTTAACATTTTGAATTTAATAAGTTTAAAACCCATAGCGAGTTCGGATAAATAATTTCGTAGAATATTTTGACTGGCTACGATATTGTTTAAAGCGAGTTATTATCAAAAAAGGTCCAAAACATCCCTTTTTTGTCTCGCTTAAGGGTTGAGGTTCCTAGCCAAAATAATCCTCATGTTCTTATCTGCAATATTGCCGTGGACACTATATACCAAAAATGAGTCGATTTCAAGAAATTTTTATTCGAAAATTTCCAAAAGTGTGGGAGAGCAAGAATCTTTCAAAAAGCCGATACACGTGCCGTCTATTTTAATTTTTATGGTCAGCTGGATTTGCACTGTAATTATTTTTTGTGTTGCACAGTGTTATTGGGCTGGATTGGTGCTTTATTGGACATTCGCAATAAAAAATTCCAAAAAATATCAGGGGATTGTACTTTTAGAGCTGCATATATAAAATAGACAGATTGCCTCATAAACTCCCAGAAGAATCGACTGGGGCTAGAATCTTGAAATGTTGGAGGTAGATTTCTGCTGGTGGGTAGGTGGACAATTATGCGGAGTTTTTTTTTCAAACTCCTACTAAAAAATGATAAAAACTCTGTTTTTGGTTTAAAAACCTATCATTTTGTTCTAAAATATATTATACAAATTCTGTGTTCGGTCTGAAATCCTTTTATAAGAGCCTTCGAATTTCGTCTAAAGGTTGATCTTGGTACGAGGCAGTAGGTCAGATGGTGCTTTTGGAGATTCGTACTATAAAAAAGATACTAAAGAGCACCAATAATGTGTGTTTGGGCTAAAATTGTATTTTTATTTTTAGATAGAATTTTTGAATATGGGTGTAGGCCACTATTGATACGGGATATTAGAGGAGATGTAATTTGTGGAAGTTCTTACTAAAAAGTACCAAATATTGGTCTTATAGAACCGGATTTCTGGAATTTGATATTTTGCTTTGTCTGACAATGAAAACATTTGCTGGGAGAATCTTTATCAAAAATCGGAACTAAAAAGCAAAAAAAAAAATACTATTATTTGCAAAAAAATTCCATTCTTTTAGAGCTGGAATCCCCAAATATGGGATGCGGGTCATCATGGATACGGGATATTAGATAAGGTGGCGTCTGTGAATAATCGTGCTGAAAACATTCTTAAAAGTACAAAAACTGTGTCTCGGTACTTTCAGAGCCGCAATTCTGAAATTTTATTATTGGGTTGCCAAAACACTAATGTTCTGTCAAACCTTTATAAAAAATCATAAATTTTTATACCCTCCACCATAGTATAGAGGGTATATTAAGTTTTATTAATTTGATTGTAGCACCTCGAAATATACATTTTAAACCCCATACGATTCTATGTCGATTTTGCAATGTCCGTCCGATCTGTCCGATTGTGGAAATCACTTTAGCTTCCGAAAAAAATTAAGTAGGTTGATACAATTTTGCTCATTTGCCTTTTTTTTTAAGACCGGCGGAACTTTTGGGCCATTTAGGTCCTAGTTTTGGTATAGGCACCATATAACTGTACCGGGAGATTGGTTGTTTTTAGGCGTTTTAGTCACAATTTTAAACCGAATTTGCTGTAAATTGAGAGTATGTGTTGCCAGTGTATAGGAAATAATTTTTCTGAGAACAGTATATATAGGTCGAAGTTTTTCTAGATATTTGGTATTTTGATGATTTGTGTCACACTTTTCACCAGAATTATTTCAAATTAGGAATTTGAAGTTCCTAAGACGGAAAATATATTACATTGGTATAGCTTTTAGCTACAATTTTATACCCTACACCACAAGGTGGTCAGGGTATTACGTCTTTGTGCATTTGTTTGTGACAGGCAAAAGGAAACGAGATAGACCCATAGTTCCTTTTGTTGATCTCCATAGAATCACATTCTGAGTCGATTTATGCATGTCCGTCCGTCCGTCTGTCCATGTATTTTTGTAAACAAAATACAGTTAGATATAGTTCCCGTATATATCTTCGTCCGATTTGCCTTTTATTGTGCACCAAACGTGTAATATCAGTCCGAATAGTATGGAATTTTGCACGTACGATCAGACTGGACCTGAAAATAAGTATGCCAAATTTGATCGCAATCGGTTCAGATATAGCTATATATATTTTTCATCCGATTTGTTATTTTTGTCCTCCGATGCCGTAATATGCACTCTGTAACAACAATATTTGGGGAAATATATCAAATACAGCTCAGAAATACATTTGCTAAATTTTATCGAAATCGGTTCAGATTTGGATGTAGCTCCCATATATAACTTCCTCCGATTTAATTTTGATTGTGCACCAAACGTCTAATATTTGCCAAAATGGGAAATTTGGCACTTTCGACCGAATTGAGTCTAGAAGCTAGTATGTCAAATTTGGTGAAGATCCGATTTGTCATATTTGTTACCCACAGCCGTAATATGCACTCCGTAATATTCAGGGAAATATATCAAATACAGCTCAGAAATATCTTTGCCAAATTTTATCGAGATCGGTTCCGATTTGAATATAGCTCCCATACATATTTTTATCCGATTTCAAGTTAATTGTGCACCAAATGTGCAATACAAGTCCAAATTTAAAAGATACAAATGCTTCGGCATATTTGGTCCTTTGAACTTTAAATTATAATTATAATCATAGCGTGTATGATTGAATTCTCCCATAAAAACTTTTAATTGTTATGCGCAGCACTACTAAATTAGCAAAGTGGTGTAGGGTATCATAAAGTCGACCCCGTCCGACTTTAAGACTTTCTTTACTGGTTTAAAATAACTATCTACATTTTCAACAGAATTATTATAAATTTGATGTTTGGACCTTTTTTTCTGGCATATAATTCATTGTCCCCATTTTCTTGTAGCCCCATATAACTGTAAAAACATCGGATATTCGGAACTTTTAAAATTATAGTGGCCTATTTTAAAGGATTTTTTCTTTAAATTTTGCAAGTTCCTTCCAAATGGGAAAGGGGGGCAAAGAAAAAAATGTACTTTTTAAATTAAGGGTCACTATTGATGTGAAGGTTTCTCAAAACTAATTTTACTAAAACGTAC